GCGAGGCTGCCATGCAACGGCGCCACCAGACCCTCTGACCACCATCAGTAGGCAAGGTGGGTGAAGTGTCTTGCCCAAGGRCDCAACGACTGAGACGGCTGGACGGGGGATCGAACCAGTGACCTTCCGGTTCCAGAACGACTCCCCAACCACTCTGCCACAGTCGCCCCTGAGATCTGTCCTCTCTTCTCCTGTAACTTTGATAAACATTCTCTGATTATCAAAATGYGTAATACTTTCAGTTAAGAGAACGCAAATCAAATAAGAGAAGATTCTTCTATTTTTTATCTGATTTAGAAGGAAAGTGGCCTTGGGTGGCCTAAATTCATTTCTAAGTGGAACAGAGTTTTTGTCCTTTTGAAGGCCCATCAGAGGACTGAGAGTCCAAGATAGTTCCTTGATAATTTGACTCGAGGTGACCCCTACATATGCGACTAGGTGCAACCAATATAAGTTGTGGGGGGGGGGGACTTGGTTGACCTGATCGATAGCCCCTCATCAGGGCTAAACAACCAATGAAAATCTGAAGCTCCTATGTTTAAGAGTTTTTGAGCAATAACCAGTATTTATTAGTTTTTTGTGTACAAAAATCTAGTGGTGGGGCGGCGCCCCCATTGACCAGCCGCCACTGGGTGAACTAATCTTTGTCGTAACATGTTTTGGGGTTTTAAAGCCACTGGGACGTCATATTTAGAGAATAAACTTCTCAGTTTCTCTGAAACTCCTGCCACATATTGAATGATGACTGGTTTGGGTCTGGGTTTAGTATCTTCATTTTCTGTTCGTTGTTGGCCGGAATCCTGTTTGGGTTTCTTGTCTGCTTTCAGAAAAGCCCAGTTAGGATAATTACACAGTTCCAAGGCCTGTCTAGTGTGTGACTCCTCTTTCTCTCTGGCTCCTGTGTTTGTGGGGACATTGTCTGCTCTGTGGTACAGAGTTCTGATGACTCCTAACTTGTGTTCCAGTGGGTGATGGGAATCAAAATGCAAATACTGGTCTTTATGGGCGGGTTTATGATACACGTTAATTTCCAACCATCCTCCATCTGAAACTGAGACTTCACAGTCCAGGAACGCCAACCTGCCATCTTTTACATCCTCTCGTGTGAACTTTATATATTTATCCACAGAGTTGATGTGATCAGTGAAATGTTGGACTTCCTGGAATTTAATTTTAAAGCAGGTGTCATGAATACACCTGAACCAATGGCTCGATGGTGTCACTGTAAAGGACATCAGAGCTCTCTTTTCCACCTCCTCCATGTACAGGTTTGCAACAATAGGGGAAACTGGGGAGCCCATAGCACAACCATATTTCTGCCCATAGTATTGCCCCCCAAATGTGAAATAGGTTGATTCTAGACACAGTTTCAGAAATTGACACTGTTGTTCTGTGGAAAGAGTGGTTCTGCGGCTAAGAGTGATGTCTGATTTTAATCTTACACAGACCACATCCACTGCCTTATCAACAGGAACACATGTAAAGAGTGATGTGACATCAAAGGAGACCATAGTTTCATCCGTCTCCATGATGGCATCCCTCACYTTGTTCACAAAGTCCATGGTATTCTGTATGTGATGATCTGACATGCCAACTAATGGACCAAGTACTGACGCTAGATATTTGGAAACATTGTAAGTGAYAGAGTTAATCATGCTAACAATAGGTCTTACCRGTACATCCTGTTTGTGAATTCTGGGTAAACCATACAGACTAGGAGTGGCCTCAGGTCGGTAACAGTGTGTGGTACAGAATGCAGTTAATATCCTTGTCCTGTTCTAACTTTTCCAGGCACTCTATCAACTTCTTCTTGTATTCACTTCCTGGATCTCTTTTCAGTGGCTCGTATGTGGTCATGCCACTAAGGAGCGTCATAACCTTCTCATGGTAGTCTTTCTGGTTATAAATCACTGTGCACCTTACTTTGTCTGCTGAGAGGATGATGTTTTTGTCCTTGCTGAGGGTGGTGAGCGAGACTCTCTCTTCTCTACTAATGTTGGAAGGTGGTGGTTTGGCATTGCTGTGACAAGCTGAAACTTTGTTCCTAAGTTGTTCTGCTTCAAATTCTGGGATTTTGTTGTTGCGAATGGCTGATTCTGTGGCTGTGATCATCTCAACCAGAAGAATTCTTCTTGGTGGGACCTCAAAGTTCAGTCCCCTGGACAGCTTTTCGATTTCTGTCTGGGTGAGTTCTCTGTCAGATAAATTCTTCACCCACTTCTCTGTCTCCCTGGCATTTTCTTGTGCTCCTGTGTGTTCCACCTTCTGTGAGTTGTTGGAATTACGACGGGACTGTCGAGTTACCAGTAAAGTGAACTTCTTTTGTTGTCTGGTTTTGGATTTCATATGCTGAACTAAACCTGCCTTTTCTGTAAAATCCATAACCTGTTGGAATGTGGTCTGATCTAGATGTTTTGCTAATTCTTGTCGGATGTGTTCCTCTTTGGCTTCTATAGTTTCAATGGTAAAGTTGGTCTGTATTACTCATTCGTTCAAAAGCTGGGTCTGTGCCCTCTGTAAGATCTTACTTGCCCATTGTCCACCAACAGATGATTTAAGCTGAAGGCTTCTAGGAAAGATGCCATTCTGTCTGCAACGATGATTAATTCTCAGATGGTGTCTGTAGTCCGCCTTC